AGATCACTTAGGATATAACTACGGAATATTCCTCATAAAATGTACTATTTAATGATATAAATTCTATACATGCAAATTGATCTAAAACAACGCCAACAATATAATCTAAACAAAAGTATAACTTAAATTATCTAATTAAGGTGTTACCAATGGGTGACATCCTTTAATGTTATAAATGTCATTATTTAAAATGTCAAAAAAAAAAACTTATTGTAAATTTAAATTGTACAGATTGTTTTTCTAATAAAAAAAAATTTTTTTGATGGTAATGTTTTCAACTAGTTAAGATTTGTGAGCTATCATTTTGTGATCTATCAATATCATGGTTGTACGGGGTAACGGGAAATCAAGGTTCGATTCCGGAGAGGGAGTCTAAGAAAGCAGANCACATCCAAGGAAAGCAGCAGGCGCGTAAATTACTCACTCCCGGAACGTGGAGGTAGTGACGAAAAATGACGATACGGAAATCATCCCTCGTAATCGGAATGAATACTTTATATCTCTTAATTAGAATAAATCGTGTTAATATATAAATTTTAATAGTAATTAGAATATATATACAAATAATGCAAATGCGACTTAACTACGTAAAAGTATCATGCACTAAGTATAGNAACTTAAGTACGTAAACGTATCATGCACTAGGTATAACCGTATTTTGTGGGCGGGCGGGTCGGACTAACGTTATACCTGAGGTATAAACGGTGGTAGGAATATATAAATATATATACGTAAGGCGCATTAGACGCGGGCGGTATTGGTCAGTCAAAATAAAAATTTGTTTATATATATATAATATTGATGACAAGCACGCGTGTACGGGTACGATAACTAAAAATAAATTTTTATAGGAATAGTGTGCCGTCGTGTTTTGAGCGAGGCGTGGGGAGGGGTGAATTCGTTATGACAGTCTAGTCTAGTGTAGCGTTACGCTACTGCTTTATCATTGGTTGACAGTTGCAAGAAAGCCCGCTGGACAGCGCTGTTCGACAACCCTTATTCAAAAAATGTAAATTAAAGTATTTATCTATTATTTTTTTTATTATTTTTTATTATATTTATTGTAATGATTATTTTATATAACAGTCTTAGCGAGAACTCGAAAATAGGAAATTAGAATATTCTTTTTGTTTTTGGAGGGTTTTTAAAAATAAATAATATGTGGGCAATTGTGTTCTACACTACTCCGGTGGTGACGGGTAGCATAAAGTACACCGTCACTACGTGCATAATTATTCTCTAAAAATTTTAATAGTTTTTTTTTTAGTTTTTCGTTTTACTAGTGTTTGCAATGGTCATTGCCAACTAGTCTTCATATAATAATTCATCATTCCATTTTGTCCATCGAGTAAGTTTTCTTTATTTTTTTCCTTATTACATATATAATTTTCAACGGTGTTCGTAACTAAACGTTACCAACCGTGATCAAAATTATATATTCTTTTCTTTAAAGGCTAGTCATAATCTTCAACGGTGATTATAACCATCGTGTTATCAACCGTGATCAAGATTGCTAGTCTTTCCTAAATATTCCTCTTTAATCCTTTGCAACGGTGCTCGTAATAAACGTTTTACCAACCGTGATCCAAAGGGTTAGATTCCACCACTTATACAATACAGTTCATCTTCAACGGTGATCATAACCTCCGTGTTATCAACCGTGATCGAGATAACTGTCTTTTTGTAAAAATCCCTTTAACCTTTTTGCAACGGTGTTCGTAACTACTCGTTACCAACCGTGATCCAGAGGGTTATACTTTTATTTCACCCCAAATTAAATAGTTTCTAAAATAAGACTGATATAGTAGTTAGTTTATTAATATATGTATATATTCATCTTTATATAAAAATAAATCAGAACAAATCGATTAGTCGAACAATTTGTGTTATATTTTTTTATATTTAAAGAGAACAAACGTAGAAACGTTTCACTAGACGACGGAATATGCGATAACGCGTAGCGTTTGGAGAGTTACAAACATACATACATACATACATACATACATACATACAGGTGAAACTAATATAAGCGTGTTAATAACAGAGAATTATTGTTAATTTTCATTTGNAATAACAGAGAATTATTCTCAATTTTCATTTTGACTGAGTTTAATTTGCTTGCTGTGTTACGGTTAGCAAATTAAAAAAAAAAAAGTATATTAATAGTACTGAATATTAAACAGTATTAAATACTAAATAATTGTATTTAAAATACTACTCAGATACTTTTTATTAAATGTATTTAAAAATAATATTCAATACCAATGAAAGTATTTGAATACTTTTATTCAAATACATTTACTCAAATGCTTTACGCCTTTGTAAATATCCCGTGCCTAGTTTCACCTATGATTTCGTATGTTGTATATTGTTGAAATTCCTTTTTTATCTTTATTTGTTTGATTTTTTTAGATTTCATGAGCAGCAGAAAAGGTATAAATTTTATAATGATGTGTTTTNGTTTTCAATAGTATTACTTTAATCCTATTTATTAACACGCTTATATTAGTTTCACTTGTATGTGTGATGTGTGTTTGTAACTTTCCACACGGCACGTGTTATTATTCTCGCGTATCCCGTCGTCTAGACTAGACTACGTAACGCATTCACCCCACCCCGCTCACAACACGCTGACAACAATAATTCTGTATAATTTTATATTTTTGGTTTTCGTACCCGTACAAGCGTGCGTGACATTATTATATATATATATAAACAAATTTTTATTTTGACTGACCAATACCACCCGCATGTAATGCGCCTTACGTATATATATTTATATATTCCTACCGCCGCTGCCGCCGTTTATACATTAGGTATAACGTTCCCCCCGACAAATAACCACGGCTATACCTGTGCATAATACGTTTACGTATTTATGTCTCCTTACTATATACAGGGTGATTTTTTTATCATAACCCACTCAATTACTTGCAGAATAATAATAATTTAAACATTTTTTTTTTTTATTATCTTTAGTTACACATTATTCTTGAATTTTTAACTATGTAATACTTTTTAAGTTCATCCCTTATGCCTTGGAAGGGGGTCAACTTTGTTTTTTTAAATGGTAACACATATTTTTAATTTAATAAAATGTTTGAGTTTTTAATTTAATAGTAAATGGCATTTGAATTTTTAATATAACTTAATTAGCTTATTAGATATAAACATTTAAAGTTTCAAAATTTTGAGTTAATATACATGTATAATACACATGGGATTGTAAATACAGGTAGCTAATTGGATTTTTATGACATTGCTGTCTCAGTCACGGATTGTTTATTATCAATTATGATTATCAATAGATATACTTTCTGTATTGTCAGTTAGTGTATTTATAAACTCATAACAATGTGCCTTACTACAATTGATAATAACAATGCTGTGTACCTGCTAATATCGATGTTATAAAAAACCAATTAGCTACCTGTATTTGTAATCCCTTGTGTATTATACCTGTATATTAATTCAAAAATTTGAAACTTTAAATGATTATATCTAATAAACGAATTAAGTTATATTAAAAATTCAAATGCCATTTACTATTAAATTAAAAACTCAAACATTTTATTAAATTAAAAATATGTGTTACCATTTAAAAAAACAAAGTTGACCCCCTTCCAAGGCATAAGGGATGAACTTAAAAAGTATTACATAGTTAATAATTCAAGAATAATGTGTAACTAAAGATAATAATAAAAAAAATTTTTTTAATTATTATTATTCTATAAGTAATTGAGTGGGTTATGATAAAAAAATCACCCTGTATATGTATGTATGTATGTGTATATATATATAGAGTGATTTTTTTATCATAACCCACTCAATTACTTGCAGAATAATAATAATTAAAAATTTTTTTTTTATACTATCTTTAGTTACACATTATTCTTGAATTATTAACTATGTAATACTTTTTAAGTTCATCCCTTATGCCTGGTAAGGGTCTCAACTTTGTTTTTTTAAATGGTAACACATATTTTTAATTTAATAAAATGTTTGAGTTTTTAATTTAATAGTAAATGGCATTTGAATTTTTAATATAACTTAATTCGTTTATTAGATATAATCATTTAAAGTTTCAAATTTTTGAGTAAATATACAAGCTAATTGGATTTTTATGACATTGCAGTCATAGTCACGGATTGTTTATTATCAATTATGACTATCATTAGATATACTTTCTGTATTGTCAATTAGTGTATTTATAAACTCACAACAATATGCCTTACTACCATTGATAATAACAATTCTGTGTACCTGCGAATATTGATGTCATAAAAAATCAATTAACTACCTGTATTTGTAATACCTTGTGTATTATAAATATATAATAAGTCAAAAATTTGAAACTTTAAATGTTTATATCTAATAAACAAATTAAGTTTTATTAAAAATTCAAATGCCATTTATTATTGAATTAAAAACTCAAACATTTTATTAAATTAAAAATATGTGTTACCATTTAAAAAAACAAAGTTGACACCCTTAACAGGCTGTAATGTTGCAGAATTTATACAAGTTTTTTTTATATATTTAAATCTTATAAATTAGAGTAGAGGTGTGTGCAATAGGTGTAGAGTATTTTCATAATTTTGTATATGATAACCTCCACTTGTCAACCGGTCCGTTATCTGTCATCATCAGCTGACCGTACACTGTGCACCTATACCAATATTGTAATGTCCCCTCAATGAACGTGTTCAAAGTTGGCACCACCACCACCCAGCGTCACGATCACCGGCCACTACACAACTGCCGCTACAACATTTTTTTTTTTCCACCTGTACTGCAGAGGCGACAAGTTGTCCGCTGTGTTTCTGAAAAAAACCACGTTTTTGCATTTTTTTTTGTCCTCCGTTTTTTTTTTTATAAAATAAACGTCGAGTCGACCTGCCGTCTACTGTGGTGTCAACCAGGTTGTATTTTTTTTTGTCCTTCGTTTTTTTTTTATAAAATAAACGTCGAGACGACCTGCTGTCTACTTTGGAGTCAACCAGGCTGTAATTTTTTTTGTCCTCCGTTTTTTTTTTTTATTAAAATAAATGTCGAGATGATGATGATGGGGATGTGAGGCGTAGCCATGGCCGGTGGTGGGCCGTCACCCTTCAATCAACAAACAAGTACAACATCAAGAAACCCCTTTTACCCCCTTTTAATTTGTGTATCAAGCACCTCCTTTTCTTTTTTCTTTCTTCTTTCCTATGACTATATCTATATCTTAAATAGTAATTATACATTTTTTTAACTAAATAATTAAAAAAATGTTGTTATATTATACATGGCCTCTTTTTTTTCTCTATACTTTTCCCTCATTTTCATTAATATTGGTTTTTTTGTTTTTATCAAAACCTAGTAGCTCCGTCAGCAAGTAATATCTTGTTTGTCGCGGCTACTAGGTCACTGTCCAGTGTTCCCCCTGGGCAGTGGGTAATTAGTAGGCCCTCTGTTTGGCTGAAACCTTACAAGGCATAAGGGATGAATTTAAAAAGTATTACATAGTTAATAATTCAAGAATAATGTGTAACTAAAGATAGTATTAAAAAAAAATTGGTATAAATCTACTTTACGGGACACCCTTTTTTTTTCAAAATTTTTTTTTTCAAAACGTTCGTTTTTTTATGCTGATTAAGAATATGTAAAAATTTTTGAGCGGAAGCGTGTGGTTCAAAAGTTATAGTGCTTTAAAGTTGCGATTGTAATTAAATAATATAGGTTATTAAAATGGATAATTTTTCTTTAAAGTTATTTCGTTTTTCTAGTTTTAAATTTTATACCAACTTGAGAAGCAATTTTATAAATATAATATTAGGGAAACATTGATACAGCGTTAAAAAGATAAGTTTCAAGCAGAAGGTTGTCAACGGGTGGTCGTTTCATAAAACTAGCAAGCGTCACAATCTGTTATCTTTATAACAATACATAGTGTGTATGTATATACAATATTTTATAAATATATAAGTATAATGCGAATTACTATACGTCGGGGGGAGTGAAGTATGATGATTCAATTGTGTATGATTTGTGGTGACTGGGATTTTTCTTAGTAGCCATGTAGTGTATTTACGGCCGCCGGGACCGATCTTATTTAGAACAGTTTATAGTAATGCGTCACAAGCGCTGCCGTCAAGTGTAATATGTTTCGTGCGCGTTTGTTTAAAAAATGTAGAACTTACACATAAGACTATATTATAATTATTAAATGTTTATTAAAAAAAATTCTGATAATTAGTATTCGCCTCATCATCAGTTAAATTGTTTTCGTCCTCCTCTTCTACCTCCAGTTCAACTTCATCAAAATCTATCTCCGGATTGTTTGGATCGTACAGTTCGCCGGCATTTTTAAAAAATTCTACAGTCGGATCAACATAGTCTAGTTTAAAAGTTATGAGCTTTCAAAGATTTCAATAATCATATACAAATTTTGTTATATACTGCTGTTTTTTTTTGATAATTCTCATTAATTAACTATAAAAAGTATTCTCGATGATGTAGTTACCGAGGAATAGTAAATTTAAGAGTATTTATGAGTACATTAAACGTTTTAAGGTAGTGTTGAAGTAAATAAATTTTATTTTTTTTGATCTATTTTTTCAATATTATATCACCATTTTAACANTTTTTTTTTTTTTTTTTTGCTCAACTTAAATTAATTGGGTTTCATATAATTACGTAATCACTCATAAAAAAAAAAACCCGAAAATTAACAAAAAAAACAATTTTGGAGCTATTTTTAGTCGTATGACGTATAAACTTTAAAATGCTATAACTTTTGAACCAAGAGTTTCCGCCAATTTTTTCAAACACTTTTGAAAAAAGCATCAAAAAACAAACGTTTTGAAAAAAAAAAAGGGTGTTCCGTAAAGTAGATTTGTTCCAAAAAATTTTTTAATTATTATTATTCTGTAAGTAATTGAGTGGGTTATGATAAAAAAATCACTCTGTATATATTGTAATTACTATTAAAAATATTTATTAAGACGCTTTATTCTCATTAAGGGATATAGAGTGTATTCATTCCGATTACAAAGGATGATTCCTGTATCGTCATTTTTCGTCACAACCATGATATTGATAGTAACTACTATAATAACATGAAACTAAAAATTAAAAAATAAATATAGTTAAAAAAAACTAAAAAAACATGCTTTTAAAGCACATCGAACTAAAAAGTTAAAAATAGTTTTTAAAATAAGCTTGAAACAATAATGAACGAAAAATACTAGTATTATTGTGATAAAAGCGGGCGCTCAATATACGAAAAATATGGCAAAAGCACCCACGCTTTTATCATAATAATACTAGTATTTTTCGTTTATTATTGTTTCAAGCTTATTTTAAAAATTATTTTTAACTTTTTAGTTCAATGTGCTTTAAAAGCGTGTTTTTTAGTTTTTTTAAACTATATTTATTTTTGTCTGTTACCACTTTTTTTATATGATAGTACTCGTTTTAAACTAATTATTAATAATATCAAAAATTAGTGATGATGGAAAAATCTCAATGCATATTAAAAATCAGTGCGAAAAATGGGTTTAGAATAGTATATTTTTGACTCTAATAAAAATTCCTTGTAGATTATTTATTCATAATTAGAACAAATTATAATCTAAAAACTTTTGTGTCAAGCACCTCAATTTTTATACATATTTGCCATAAAGTAATAACTCTTTTATAATTTTTTTATAAATTCTCCGTATAAATTATAATATTTAATTATTGAATATAAATTTCATACTATATTTAATTGATATACTAAATATTTATTCATATATAACACTTATAATCATAAAATGTCCAATCGTGATATAAATAAGGGAATAGGTGTTCATTCTGTTTTTGGAATAATCCACCAATTTCTTAAAATTAAACACTATCAACAGATTTGCATCGAAGATTTAATTATGATGATGATTATTTTAATCACTGTAAGTTATCATCTATATTGTCTCGAATATAACACGTCCACACTGTGCCACGACTACAATGCGCTACCGTTTTTTTAATTTATTTATTAAAAAAAGAAATAATTGTATTCAATATTACTCATAAAAATTTCTTAGAATTTTTAAAAAAATTGTAGCAAAAAGAATTTGCCAAGCATAATTTTCATGATATTATCATAAAATTGCATTCCATTTGAATCGAATTTTTTACATATTAAAATAGAAAAAAACAAATTAATACTCACTCCTTTTTAAGATCATCAGATGTTCCATAGCATGTACGAAATATTATAAAAAATTTTAATAAAATCATTTGAATCATTTTTTTTTTGTAAGATATACAATTTGATAATTTGATGAAATACAAAGAAATTTTAGTACAAAAGTTTAATTTTCATTGAAAATATGTATATATTAAGCTATTTAATAATTTATTAATTTATTACAGTTAATTTTATTATTATTATTCATTATTACATATTTATAGCATAGTTAAACAGAGAAGCGAAAAATTTACCATCGTCATAACTAGTATTTGTACAAAAACACTTTGTAATCTGTAAATAACTTAGTACTGTTGAGTTTCTGAGTAATTGGTCGTTAAAAATTAATTTTATTGTAGAGATTATATTTTTTTTCATGTTTATAACCATGAATTATTCATAATTTGAGAACGTATGATGATAATATGTGCTCCCGGTGTCTGAACCTACTTAAAACAGTAATCTAAAAAAAAAATTAACTTTTCATTTTTTATGATTAACTTAGAGCTACTATTATTCAGTAGAAGATATTACGAGAGTTTCAAAAATATAATTATTATTATAGTTAAATAAACAATTGCAATTGTGATGGTGTCACGTTACCATTATTGTATAAAACTATTATTATAAAACACAGACAGTGCATCCGATTCTAGAAACTGTAATGCGGGCCCGCGTAGAGAAGATGGATTTATTAGTAAATAAGTAGAATTGAACAGAGTTTATTTATTAATGATCAATTTAATAGTGATCGATTAAAATAGAATAAAATTACATTGAATATTATAATATATAATACACGAAATAGAACACAGCTTTAGTATACAGACTTAGAATTAATAGGCTTAGATTTAGAATATTATGTGTACCGTCACTTTCACATATCGAACCACGACGACTGACTCTATGGGATCTACAGTGGCAGTCCTTTGCCCATGGTTCCCCTAAAACCCTTGGTCAGCACATTCCTGTGTCCGACGACAGTCGGCCGACCATATATTCTATACTCTATTCAATTACAAAATAATATTCAGGGGTTCATAACAAAACTAATGAATTTACGATTAATATTTATTGCAAAATTGGCAATCGTCCGAATTACTATTTAAAGCAAAAGGACCTGGCCATCGTGATCAGTCGATTCCAGTGCTTTGTGTCATTCAGTCTCAGTACTTGGTTGTCACTGTCCGGCTTATTGCATAAAGTCAAGTCTTTGTTTTTCATTTTCATCTACCTACTTTCGTCCTCGACATTTCAAAGTACTTGTGTCTTGTACTTCGTCTGCACCTCGTACTCTGTTATCTTCCTTACCTGGTACGCTTAGTATTTGTGTCTTGCATTTGAGGAGTACACCTCATACTTTGGATTCCATTGCGTACACCTGATATTTTTGTGTTGCACTTCGTCTCTTCTTTATACGAAAGTGTTACCCTTATTTTCTTCTTATAACAACGGCCTTTCAACACCCACAGCTAATCCGGAGTGTCAGCCGAGCACGGCAATTGCTGTATGATCAGGCAGCAGACTCATATCATCATCTTCGTACATTACTCTACAACTTCCTTGCGTGTTTTGTTTTGTGTTACGACACTATATTAGTAAAAAATATGAGAACAAGTAAAATTAAAACTATATTAAAAATATTATTAATTTAAAAAAAAACTAAAAAATATTAAACTCAAAGCCACAAAAAAATTAATGAAAAATCGCGGATAAGTATTTCGGAAACAATGTTACCATTATCAGCGCTAAACACATATGTCAGTATGTTTAATATTTTTTAGTTTTTTTTTTTAAATTAATAATATTTTTAATATAGTTTTAATTTTACTTAATTAATTAGCCACAAGTGATCAATTTTTATTATATTTATATTATTTATTAAATTGATTAATTTATAAATATGAGAACATTTTACAAAAATTAACTTTATTATCTTTCATATATTTTTAGCACGGTATTAAATGTGTAATATACAATTAAACTAAAAATATTGTAGGGTGAGCGGAATATTAAAATTAATAATGAACGATCAATATTTTTAAATAAATAATTTTATTTTTAATTTTTAACAATTTTTAAAATTTCAACACAATCACACAATTAACACAATAAAAGTTCGTAATCATCATTGTAGAAATTCTTAATTATTTATCGTGCACTTTAAATATAATAATTGTATTAAATAGATAAGGAAGTATTGAATAACATCGATTTTAATATAATATAAGTTTTACAACAGTAGTAAGAAATTTTTAAATTCTTAAGCAACGTAATTAATGCCATATAAAGGTAAATGTAGGGTAAACAAATTAATAATGGTGGGAAAAAGAATATATTGAGAGGTGACGACTTGGGCCACGCAACGGATTGTGGAGTCGACACCCTTATGGATCCCTTGCAAAAGGAAAATCGGGTCGCCAACCACGTAGGCGAGAGTCTTGATCATAAAAAGAACAACACCCGGACCATAAGTGGATTTAAAAAAATAAACAAGAAATAAACCAATAATATAAAATAAAATAATATACACTTTGATGAAACAAAATGGATTAAAAAAAATTATACATACNGAAACAAAATGGATTAAAAAAAATTATACATACATATACTAAAATATAAAGTGTTGTTGTAGACTATAATACGCTGATACCTTGTAAATATAACAAAATATGTTTGTTTGATGTCACCAGTAGTAGACATACTTTAGTATATGGCACAGTGGTGACGTGGCATAGTTGGATCAAGTATAATGATATCTGACAGTGATTAAAATCACTATCAAAAAAAAACGCTTCGATGCAAATCTTTAGATAGTGTTTAATTTTAAAAAATTTGTGGATAATTACAAAAGCTTCATTAACTGCTAGTTCCTTATTAATATCCTGATTAAGACAAAGTATGTAGAATAAAAAAGAGATTATTAGAAAATAGTATTTCCCATAAAAAAATTATATTGATCAATACACTTTTCAATAAGTTATAGCATTATAATGTTAAAAATGTAAAAAATAAAATTGAGAATTTTCACACAATAATAGCATTTGGTAGCCATTTTCACCTTGAAGATAAAATAAAGTCCGAAATTTTTTTTTTTCATGATAAAGTATATTACATTAGCTTTAATTTAAGATATATATAAAAGTGTCAGACTTTCCGGAACACTTTCAAAATTTAAGTTGAAAAAGTCAATTTTTTGTGAAAAAGTTGTCATTTTGACCCCCCCCCTGTAGGCAGGTAAAAAGTCAGATTTATAAAAAAAATATACCAAATGATAGGTAATGACATTATGCATCTACATAAAAAAGAATTATATTGATATGTTTATTTTTAAAAAAGTTATGGCAGTTCTTAGTAAAACAAATTGAAAAAATTTCGAAAATTAGCGATTTTTAAATTTTAAATTTTTATTAGGTTTCCCTCATTTACAGGGAACGAGGGCAATTTTTTCAATTTTTAAGGGTAATGTCTTCGACTAGATACGATTTGTGATCNATTTTTATTAGGTTTCCCTCATTTACAGGGAACGAGGGCAATTTTTTCAATTTTTAAGGGTAATGTCTTCGACTAGATACGATTTATGATTGAAAGAAATCGGTTCGGTGAGAGCTGAGAAAAAGTGGTAACAGACACAAAAAAAAAAAAAACACATCTTAGTAAAACCAATACCTTCTCAGCTTCACATCGAAGCTAAAATTATATACATATACTAAAATATAAAGTGTTGTTGTAGACTATAATACGGTGATACCCTGTAAATATGATAAAATATGTTTGTTTGATGTCACCAGTGGTGGACATACTTTAGTATGTCGAAGACCGTTACCTTAAAACTAGAGAGAATTATTTAAAGGTAAAAAAAAATAAGATACACGTGAATATTGAAGATATTCACGCAATAAAAAGATTTTTGTTGATTAAGAAAATTAAGGGGACTTTATTAAATTATTACAATTAAGTTAATAGTGGACAAAACCCGAAGGCAAAAACCACTCTGAAAATGAAGGGACAATAGAGAGAAAAAAAACAATTATTAAGACAAAAAAATTTAACCTACAACTTTTAAACATTACACGTGAAGTGTCTTCCGCATCGGAACAAGTCCGTGTACTCCGGGCGCGGCGGATAATTTTTGTAATCTAGTCGGCCGGACCGTACTTGGGCACTGCGGGAACAATATATATGTATTAAATATACATGACACACACACACACACATATATATATATATATATATATATTATGTATAATGTGCATATGACTGTGCAAAAATATCCAACTATGGACTACATTATTGAACGTTAAAAATGTTACTATACAAGTAATATAAATGATAGTGTAGTGTTTTGGTGTTTATATTTATTACAAAATACTACAATTAAAATTTATAATAATTAATACTTTTTAATAATGAAAAATGATTTTATACGTACATAAAAAAAGAGTACAAATAAAAAGTGTCACTGGATTGACGAACAGCGCGAGAATAAAAAAAATACACGGAGTGTTATCGTACTGCAGTACATCTAAGATAAAACATATAAACATATATAAACGCATTCATTGTGACATGTTATTTAACATCTTTGTTAATCCCTACAATAGTTTCAAAATATAAACTTGCAGCACTTTTAATTAAATAATCAAAATATATGTAGTATAATAAAATATGTGACCATTATTTAGAAAGTTCTTAACATTTTTATAGCTGGACAACAGAAATAAGTACGGCCTGGAAATGTCTAGTAATGAAAATAGCAAAACCCGTGCTTGAAGGTGAAGAGCGGGTTTTGTTAAGTAATTGTTGAATTTACTTTAAATTGTTAATAATTTTGGAAACTGGTCCAATAATTGTTATCAAATAATGAACATTATTTATAATGAATATAATTTTTAACATGTTATATGTATTATATATACATACCTGTATATATAATTTTATAATAAAGATATGTATAATCTTATAAATAATTTTCATTTAACTTTTAAATGTATACATTATAATAAATTACAAGATAAGAAATTTTAGTAAAAACTTTTAACTGTACCTGTTTTATTGTACCTATACTTAATACTATTTATTTAAAAATTATTTACATCATTATTTTGTTTTAGAGGTTCTACATTATGCTAATTTCTAATATTATTTATTCCAGGTAAATACTGTGTTTTTATTTTAGAATTTATGTTTAGATCATCTTCCATTCCATTATAGCGTCCAATATACTGTAAGTGATCACATTTTAAATATTTATTCCATTCAGCCCTTGCTATATCTAAGCTGTAGATATAGCTGCTGAAACGCTTCGATGCAAATCTGTAGATAGTGTTTCATTTAGAGAAATTGGTGGATTATTCTAAAAGCAACATCAACTCTTATTTCCTTAATTATATCCTGATTAGTAACTTTAGTTATTAGTTCTTTGATTTTAAAATATAATATATGCATAAATACTAATTATAGTTATTAAATTTAGTATGAAATTGATATTCAATAATTCAATATTGCAATTTATACAGAGAAATTATAAAAATAAAAAAGTAGTTGTATATTCCTTTAACTTTTACGTGTATAAAAAATTAAAGGGATTGATGCAATACTTTTTAATGAAAAATTTTTGTTACTTATGAATAAATACACTGGACTTTTCGCCTTATTTTCGAATCTACAATTAGACTTTTTCTATCACTTCTAATTTTATATATAATTACTAATTACATATAAATAATAATTAAAAGAAACAAAAATTTGTTTTCAAATTATTACTGATTTGATTTTTAATATTTTAAAAATAATCAGTCCAAATTTTGTTAACCTATTTTTTTGGTTCTTTAAAATTAATGAAAAATGTTCGATAAAGTTTTGTGAAAGTTTATAGTAAATAAAAAATAGAATATGTTACCATAACTTATAGCTCAATACATGTTTCAAATTGACAACATTAAATAGAAAATTTTATGAGAATTAAAAAAATTGTATGGTTAAGATTAATATGCAGTTAGGAAGTTTTATAATTACTATTTATAGTAAATTTATCAAAGTAGATTAATTCTTTATACATTTTTATCGTACTAGATAACTTAAATTGAAGTAATAGTAATAATATATATATATATAATGATAAGTAAATAATTAAGGTATCAAAAAAAAAATTATATTGATTCGGTCATTTTTAAAAAAGTTATGGCAATTTTAAGTAAAAAAAATTGAAAAAATGTGGAAAATTAGCGATTTTTAAATTTGTAATTTTTTGGAGGATTTCTGTTATTTACGGGAAACGAGAGAAAAATTTTAATTTTTAATGGTAATATCTTCAACTAGATACGTTTTGAGATTTCTTGATGTATCGTTGAGAAAAATCGGTGCAGTGACACCTGAAAAAAAGTAATGACAGAAATAATAAAAGTAGCACAGAAGGATCGTGGCACAATGTTAATTCTAAAAGTTAATTCAATATTTTTTTGGTAGGGGTATTTTTTTGAAAAATGATCATTTTTATAACATATACAAATTTTTCTGCTCATCTCCTTAAAAACTAAAAAACGGTAGCACAGTATGGACGTGGAATAGTTGGGACAAGTATACATGTTATCTGACAGTGATTAAAATCACTATCTTAAGAAACGCTTTGATGCAAACCTGTAGATAGTAATTAATTTTAAGAAATTAGTGGTTTAATCCAAAAACAAAATTAACTCCTATTTCCTTCTTTATTCCTAAATAGTAGTTCTATGAAGAATAAGAATAATATATGATTAAATATCTATTAAATCAATTAAATATAGTATGAAATTGATATTTAACAATTTAGTATTGTTGTATAGAATTTTTACGGAGAAATTATAAAATATTACACAGTAGTTGTTACTTTTATGGTAAATGAGTATAAATATAGAAATATTATAAACAAAACTATTCAAAAGATTATTTGTGGTTAATTATGAATTAATAGTCTACAAAGACTTTTCATCAGAGTAAAAAATATACTTTTCTAAACCCATTTTATGTGCTGATTTCAATTCTGCAATTAGATTTTTTCTATTACCACTAATTTTTGATATTATTAATAATTAGTTTAAAATGAGTATTAACATATAAAAAAAATAACCAAAAAAATATAAGTTAAAATATGACTCGAGTTCCTATCAAATTATATTTTTGTCGCGTTTTTTTGCTCCCTGAAGAAATACAAAGTAACCATCATATATCATAATTTCAAGATTTCTAGGTATTATATTTTCTTTATATGTTCCCAATACGCATAGCTTAGGATATGTTACTGCTAAAATAACATAAAATTTACCCCCCATAACATTATGAATGGTGGAAAAATTTGAAATGCCTATAAACAGAAAGTACGTGAATACACTTTTGTATACAATTCATCAACAATCTTATATACCAGTATTACAAAATTATTTGTGAGTAAATGTTTTATTACGCATGATGTTAAATAACATACACGTATCAAAAGAGTGTATCCATATATAAATAACAATTTCAAAAGTATTTTGATGTTTTTTAAAGAATCATAAATATATGTATTTTATATTATAAATATAAGTATTCTAAATTTAATTCGTACAAATATTAATAATGTTATGGACATTTTTCACAAATATTAATTTAGTTATAATTAAACATTAATTTTAACAGCATAATCAAAAACCAAGTAAGAATTTATTGAAAGTTTAGTTTTCTTTTTTTTCAAGGCTGACATTTCTTTTAGAAGAAGATCCCGTAAGTCTTTTGACATATGACTGGAAATCGTATTTAATCATATTTTCGTCGCGTTTTTTTGCTTCCTGAAGAAATTCGAAATAACCATCATGTTTCATGATATCAAGATTTCTAGGTGTTATATTTTCTTTATATTTTCCCAATACGTGTGGCTTCGGATGTATTATTGCTACAATAACATAAAATGATCCATTTACTTTTTCACCATCAATTATAGTTTCATTTTTTTTTGCCACACCAATTCCTATGTTAATGGAACTTTTCCAAATTATAGTAGTTGAAAGTTGACACTTCCAAGAATATTTCTCAACTACATAAAATCATACAGCTTAGTAAATAAATAATAATGAGTTTATTAATGTACAATTATTAGCCACAATTCAATACTAATAAACGATGGTCTGTCATAAAAATATGACGTTAGGTAAACCATAATAAACCGAACCTACATGTTACGGTTCAATCGATATATTTTCTTCACCATCAGTTAATATTAGGTTAAGGAAAAGTTTTGTAAAATGAGTTAGTGTATGTTTTAATACTGAGTTTGGCGTATATGTGTATTTTTTGTTGAGTAATTTGAGGAGATATTTATTTTTATTTATTTAGCTAACGCCAAACGGAAATTTAAAAAACTAATAATCAATCATGGTATTACATGACAACTTCAGCAATATTATTTACAATTATAGAAATCTATTTATAATATATTTATTATAAATTTAAATTATTTTTATTTCGTTTTGAGTACATATATATATATATTGCTTTTAGCTTCGATGCAAAGCTGAGAATGTATTGGTTTTACATGACGTTTCTTTTTTTTTTTTGTGTCTGTTACCACTTTTTCTCAGCTCTCACCGAACAGATTTCTTTCAACGATATGACAAAAGATCACAAATCGTATCTAGTCGAAGACATCACCCTCAAAATTTGAAAAAATTTCCCTCATTTCCTGTAAATGGGAGAAACCTCTAAAAAAATTAAAAATTTAAAAATCGCTAATTTTCGAAATTTTTTCAATTTTTTTTACTTAAAATTGCCATAACTTATTCAAAATTGAACAAATCAATATTCCTTATTTTTAATAGATGCATAATGTTTTTACCTATCACTTGGTGTATTTTTTTTATAAATCAGACCCTAAACCTGCCTACAGGGGGGGATTTAAAATGACAACTTTTTCATCTATGAAAAATAATATTTTTTATAATCCCTTTTTCATTCGACATACTTTATCTTAATCACGATATTAATAAGGAACTAGCAGATCATGAAGCTTTTGGAATAATCCATCAATTTTTTAAAATTAAACACTATCTAAAGATTTGCATCGAAGTGTTTTTTTTTTACAGTGATTTTAATCACTGTCAGATATCATTATACTTGATCTATCTATGCCACGTCACCCCTCTGCTGGGTTTTTTTAATTGTATATTTGTTATAAATTGAGTTAAATTTGTTGTTTATATAGTTTTAAGTGAGTTTTAGGTGTTGTTGTAGCTGGTCAGTGCACACACATATAAACGTTTTTGCGAATTTCTTTTAACAATTTTTATTTTCATTTATTTTGAGTATTTTTTCTAATAATAAGGCTAAGGGGATACATACAAGTCAGCAGAGTTCTGATATTAGAGTTTAATTATATATTATTTAATAGCAATTGAGTATGAGTGAGCAACTAGTCATCCAGAGAGTGTAATCTATACAAATACTATTGTAGTCAATTTTTTAACACTCACAGTTACTGAATTATTAGAGAAATTATTATAAACACTTATTGAGTTATTTCATTAATTCTATTATTTATTTATCAAGAGATTTTATTTTATGTAGTACAGAGTTTATATATATATATATATATTTGTTGAGTTTTAAAACTATCTAGTCATTTTTTTATTCATAGTTTAAATTACCACTGTTATCTGTCTCACAAACCCTCTTATTTCCTGTAGACAACATCTCCGGCTTCAAGTAAGGTCGTGTGTGAGCAGTCGATCCTACTCAATTATACAGTCCACTCATTCTCTATATACAGAGTGATTCATTAAGGATAAGACACTCGTTTACTCAGTAACTATTGAAATTTTAAAATTTTTGTTAAGGATAATATTGTTTGATTCAAAAAACAGTACAATAATGTGTAGCAAAAATATGATATTTTTTATCCCTTCAAGGTTAAAAAACATTAACTTGAGTTTTTTTTAATGAGAACATATTTTGAATACAATAAATGTTTGAATTTTTAATTTAATAGCAAATGACATTTGAATTTTTAATATAACTTTATTCGTTTATTAGATATAAACATTTAAAGTTTCAAATTTTTGAGTTAATATACATGTTTAACACACTAGGGATTATGAATACAGATAGCTAATTGGTTTTTATGACATTGCTGTCTCAGTCACGGATTGTTTATTATCAATTATGACTATCAATAGATATACTCTCTGTATTGTCAGTTAGTGTGTTTATAAACTCACAACAATGTGCCTTACTACTATTGACAATAACAATGCTTTGTACCTACTAATATCGATGTCATAAAAAACCAATTAGCTACCTGTATTTGTAATCCCTTATGTATTATACATGTATTGACACGGCTCGCGTCGCTTCGTTATACACGATGCCCCGCGACTCGTGCCACCTTTATCAGCCGTCGCTCTACTATGAGTATTTGATTGACCAACACCGCGTGTCATACGCTACGGTGCAAAGTCCAGCAAATGCCGCACGCCCGACGACAACCCGCCCCAAATGATACGAGAGTCTTCATCCCGTTGTGAAAGGACAACGTCGACCAACCGATCCGCACACGCGCACCGTCGCCTACAACGCTGCTAACCTTTTGTCGGCCAAGGTCACGCCGGACATCGTCGACGCCAGCGAAAGTGCTGCGATATTATGCGAAAACTATTATTATTGTGTTCATCTTTTCGGTTTGTTTTATATTTTGTTAAAATAACCTGTTATCGCTAATTTAATAAACGGCCTACGGGTCTCTACCCTCAAAATCAGTGTCGACCACATTTTTGCGACGTAATTCGTTTCAGTATAATAACTCAAAAAAATTTGAGCTATTAACAAAAAATTATTATTCATATCTAATAATAAACAATAAAAATTTGTTTATAAATATATATCATATTGATGATACGTACGCATGTACGGGTACGAAAACCAAAAATAAATCTATACAGTAATACTGTTAGTGGCGTGTTGTGAGAGGTGTGGGGTAAATGCGTTACGACAGTCTAGTATCAAGACCATAGACGACGGGCATAATAACACGTGGCGCGTGGAGAGTTACAAACAAACAAACAACTAACATACAACTTACATGTGAAACTAATATAAGCGTGTTAAAAATAAAAAAAACAATTTAATTAATTGGGATCTTGGCCCACTGAAAAATTCATTATTCAACTTTTGTAATCTGGCAAAATGTAATAATATTATTTAGTTATGACGTGACTAGGGATATATAAACGAGTTTTTTTCTAGTCAGGATGTCAGTATGTGTTTAGCGTTGCTAATGGTAACATTGTTTACGAAATACGTATCCGCGACTTTTTAGTAATTTTTTGTGGCTTTTGAGTTTAATATTTTTAATATTTTTTAGTTTTTAAATTAATAATATTTATAATATAATTTTAATTTAACTTAATTAATTTTATTTAATCGATTTTAATGTAATTAAGATGAACAAATAAAATTTATTTTCATTTAATCGTTAATACTACAACCACAAAATTAATTTCTTTCTCTTAATCCGTATTTTCAACAATATTTTATCAAAAATTTAATTTAATATTATATTTTATAGTAATAAAAACAAAGAGAATATAAAATATAATATCGAGTCTTTTTTGTAACGAAAGCTCGATTTTTTTTCCGTGAAGACGAAATAAAGTCCGAAATTTTTTTTTTACATAATAAAGTAGATTACATTAGCTTTTATTTAATATATATATATATATATATAAGTGTCAGACTTTCCGTTTTTCAAGTTATAGCATAATAAATTTAAAAAAATGTAAATTACAAAATCGAGAATTTTCACACAAAAATAGCATTCAGTAGCCATTTTCACAGTGAAGACAAGATAAAGTCCGTTTTACCATGATAAAGTATAATAAATTAGCTATAATTTAAGATATATATAAAAGTGTCAGACTTTCCGGAACACTTTCAAAATTTAAGTTGAAAAAGTCAATTTTTTGTGAAAAAGTTGTCGTTTTAAATCCCCCCCTGTAGGCAGGTAAAAAGTCAGATTTATAAAAAAAATATACCAAATGATAGGTAAAGACATCATGCATCTACAAAAAAAAGAATTATATTGATCCATACATCTTTCGAGAAGTTATAGCATTATAAAGTTAAAAATATAAAAAAGAATTTTTTTACAAAAATCGTATTTTTTTTATTAAGTTTAATGTCTGTTTTCACCATGAAGATAAAATAAAGTCCGAAATTTTTTTTTACCATTATAAAGTATATTACATTAGCTTTAATTTAAGATATATATAAAAGTGTCAGACCTTCCGGAACACTTTCAAAAGTTACGTTGAAAAAGTTCTACTTTCTATATGCATTTTTATGTTTTGAATCCCCCCTGTATTAAGGGAAATGGTCCGATTTAAAAAAAAAGTATGTCGAATGAAAGATCTATATAAATACTACTTCTCATAAAAAAATTGTAAAGATTCATTTATTTTTCAAAAAGTTATAGCATAATAAAGTTAAAAATGGAAAATACAAAATCGAAAATTTTCACACAAAAATAGCATTCGGTAGCCATTTTCACCATGAAGATAAGATAAAGTCCGAAATTTTTTTTTTTCATGATAAAGCATATTACATTAGCTTTAATTTAAGATATATATAAAAGTGTCAGACCTTCCGGAACATTTTCAAAATTTAAGTTAAAAAAATTAATTTTTTGTGAAAAAGTTGTCATTTTAAATCCCCCCTTGTGGGCAGGTTAAGGGTTAAATTTATGAAAAAAATATACCAAATGAAAGGTAATGATATTATGCATCTATATAAAAAAGAATTATATTGATATGTTATATATAAAAGTGTCAGACTTCCGGAAAACTTTCAAAAGTTAATTTTAAAAAGTAAATTTTTTGTAAAAAAGTTGTCATTTTAAATCCCCCCCTGTGGGCAGGTAAAGGGTCAGATTTATAAAAAAAATATACCAAATAATAGGTAAATCCATCAAGCATCTATCAAAATAAATTATATTGATTTGGTCATTTTTAATAAAGTTATGGCAGTTTTAAGTAAAAAAAAAACCCAGCACAGTGGGAACGCGGCACAGTGGGGATGTGGCATAGTTGGATCCAGTATAGATTTAATCTGACAGTGATTATAATTACTATCATAAGAAATGCGCCGATGCAAATCTGAAGATAATGTATTAATTCTAAGAAATTGGTGGATAATTACAAAAGTTACATCAACTATTTCCTTAATCATATAAAGATTAGTAATTCTTAGATTCAAAAATATAATATAAAATTATATATTATATAATTGTTATATTGAATTGTTTTCAAATTATTATTGATTTTGATTTTTAATATGTTAAAAGTAATCATTTTTAACTTCTATATTTCGTCCTTTAAAGAGAAAGTTTCTAATAATAAAAAAAAAAATGAATTTATTACCATAACTTTTAGCTTAACTTGCAAGTTTGAAATAGACATTATAAAATAGAAAAAAAAATGAAATTGTTTAGATTAAAATTTAATTAAAATTTTCAGCAAATTTTATAATTACTATTTACAGTCAATTTATCAGAAAAGCTCTATTTTTTTTTTTTTGTATTTTTATCGTAATAGATCACTTAAATATAAATCATAGTAATCAATTATAATAATTATAATTAATTATTAACATTTGGTGTTTAAAAAGATTCTCCAATTGAAATATACAGAACTGAATTAATTTTAATGATTTATTTTAACTAAAAGAGCCAATAAAAAAAAAGTTGTTAAAAAGCTTTACTCAATTGAGCGTATTATAAAATTTGATTATAATTGTAAAAATTCAGGTAAACTAAAAATAATTTTTTTTTATATTTATGATTTATATAGCAACCATGTTACAAAAAATTTGGAATATTATAAATTGGTAGTAGCACACTCAAATAGAGTTAAAAAATTTTATATATCTTCAATTAAATATGAAAGTCAGTGTGTTACCCTTGTAAGATATTTTTGAATTTCTTATTCATAATAAAATTATTTTACTATATTTTAGGTTTTAGCTTCGATGTAAAGCAGAGAAGGTATTTTTTTGTGACTATCATTTATTATCTCTGCTCTAACTTGAGCTACATTTTTCAACGATACGTCAAATGACTATAATTCGTATCTAGTTGAAGATATTAAATTGATATAAAAATAAGATTTACTATAAATAGTAATTACATAACTTCTTAACTGCATATTAATCTTAACGATACAATTTTTTTAATTCTCATAAAATGTTCTATTTTGTGATGTTAATTTCAAACTTGCTAATTGAGCTAAAAGTTATGGTAGCAAACTCATTATTTTTTTATTAAAACTTTGACTTTAAAGGACAAAAAAAGTAGGTTAAAAATTATTACTTTTAACATATTAAAAAACAATAATAATTTAAAAACAATTAATTATAAAAATTATATAATATATAAGTAAATGAATTACTAATCTGGATAATTAAGGAAATAGAAGTTGATGTTGCTTTTGTAATTATACACCAATTTCTTAGAATTAAACATTATCTACAGATTCGAATCGAAGCGTTTCTTATGATAGTGATATAAATCTAAAATGTAGTTGTTTAATACAAACTTTCAGAATAAAACTAATTGAGTTATTATCATTTTAATAAATTGAATGGAAAGTTACCGCTGTGGGTTTACAGCTCATACTGGTGTATGTGCATATCGCCTGCACTTCATATAGCTACATAAATCACTATACTATATATTAAATAGTTTAAATTATTTAAATTGGTAAATTAAAAATAACAATAATAATCAGTGACGGATCATGCCTTGGACGACGGGACGATCACACCCCCTACTAAATTTATTAAAAGAAGAAAATTAATTGTATATTATTCAATTCTACAATTTTATTAAGAATACAAATTTTTAAATAGAAACATAGTTATAATAAATTTATCGTGTACGAACAGTAAAGTTTATGCGGGTACGCATGCGCACACGAGCAGTGTTTGGACGACCCAAAGCGTTGTAAAAGTATTTTTGTTTTATGTGTTTAGGACCTTTAAATTAATTCAATAAATAAAACTCAATCAAATAAATATTAATTGATATTTGTCAGCTTATTCGAAAAATATTATTACGGTTTACAGAAAAAAAAATTCAATTTATGACACTGCTGGTTCAACAGTAATAAGAATCTTAGTAAATTAAGCTTCTTCATAATGAATAATAATTAATTCAAAATTTTAACCTTTAGAGTTATATACAATAATTAAATACTTTAACGTAATTTGATCAATAATAATTTATAAAGATAATCAATACTAATAAATTAAATAAAAGAGAATAATAATGATTATAATCATTACCAAATAAACCAAATAATTATTTGTACACAAATAACAATATTATATTAAAATAAAAATAATCAAATTTCAATAAATATCGATAGAATAAACAATTAGACAATTGTGGTTTAATAATTATCAGAAAACTTAAACTCAATGTTAATGAAAAAAATGTCTAATAGTTAATTGAATAAAAATAATAATTTACTGGTTATTATAAAATTTAATACGGTATGAGGTATCACAAGTTGATATGAACAATTAATGCTAATATGTAACAATTAAATATCACAGCAAAGAAACAAGTTATTGATCTAATTAGTAGCTGTACAATAAATGATCCCCGTAATTAGTACGAAAGAAAATATGAAAATCTTTGAGTTTTTGCAAACTTGAAATTTGACTTAACGTTTATACAACAAAAAATAAACGTCTATATCAACAAATTATATAAATACTTATATAATTTGTTATGTGCGTGTGTGATGTGTGACAGCTGTTCGGCCGGCAGTACAGATAAACACACTACTAGTGTAGTGGGTATCTTTCAGCGTTGACTGTGTGAAACGGTCCAAGTATGGTTTTCTTGTTAACAATTGTAATGTTGTTACCAGAATATTATAAAATATACAAAATAATATTTTCAAAACTCCCCTAAAATTATTATACAGGATAGTTATAATTTATTATTATTACTTACTTTTAATCATTTCATCCTCATTTGCTTCAAAATCAAAAGGTTTATCATCATTATCAACAGCTCTATATATTTCATAAGGTATATTTTTTCCTAAGTCTTTAAAATTTAGAGAAAAACGAGATGTAATAAATATTCCGAAAATTGAATAGAATGGACCAAGCCGTTCTAACCTGGTAAAATTATTTGCACATGACTGTGCAAAAGCATCTAACTAAAAATCATATTATTGTATTAATAACTAGTAATATAAAAAATAGTTTTTTAATATAATCTTGCAGGTCTTTTATTTAATTGTTCAAAAATATGTATAGTATAAAAGAGATAACAGGAGAACAGGAATTGTTGAAATTACTTTAAATTATTAATAACTTCGGAAAATTGGTCCAATAATTGTTATCGAAAAGTTATTCAATTAATTCTATTTTAACATTTTCTATTTTATAAAATAAAAATTGATCACTTGTGGCTTATTAATTAAATAAAATTAAAACTATTATTAATTTAAAAACTAAAAAATATTAAACTCATAAGCCACAAAAAATTACTAAAAAATCGCGGATACGTATTTCGTAAACAATGTTACCATTACCAACGCTAAACACATACTGACATACCCACTAGAAAAAAACTCCCTTATATATACCTAGTCACGTCATAACTAAGTAATATTATTACATTTTGCCAGTTTACATAAGTTGAATAATGAATTTTTCAGTGGGCCTAGATCCCAATTAATTAAATTGTTTTTTTTATTTTTAACACGCTTATATTAGTTTCACATGTAAGTTGTATGTTTGTTTGTAATTCTCCACGTAGCTTTTTGAGTTAATATTTTTAATATTTTCTAGTTTTTAAATGAATAATATTTTTAATATACTTTTAATTTTATTTATTTAATCTATATAATAAGTTGATTAAATATTTAAGCTTACATTTGAATTATTAAAATTAATACTCTTATTATTTATAAGGCAAAGGCATCATTTCAAAATTTACTAGTATGGGAAAATTTTTTAACCGGTCCACCATTTTACAAACCGCTTGTATTGTTTGGTTCATTTATTAATATTTCAACTCTATTACACTTAGTATAAAAATTATCATAACAGATATTTTTCTAAAATAATTTTGACGACAATAAATTAACAATTTTCAATGGAGTAAAATGTTTAGAAAAACAATTCAATAGTAAAATATTTTAAAATACCCATTACTATTAAAAACCTATGCAGTATCTGATTTCAGTGACAAAGAGAGAGGTTTTTGAAAGGAAGCTTATTTTATATTTTAAATATCTAAATTAAGTATCATAACCATTGAATAAAAATTTATTTTCACTACATATCTTAGATAAATTGGATTTTATTGAATAACGGGTTTATTTAAGGAATGGTTTGATCAGGAAGAGTGCGAATTGATACCATGTCTTTGGTATATGGGATGAACAAAGAGATAACCGACTAATGGGACTTTATTTCCCTTCGTGCATAAAGTATCACGTATTTTTGTAGGCTCTGCAAAGACTTATGCCCCTTCAAAATGTAGGTTTTACATAATAAATGAACTTGATATAATGATTCTCCATAATTCTTATGCTATCTTATTCTTAGGCTATCTTATTCTTAGGCTATATTATGCTATATACAATAATAACTGTTCGATTGATACTAAATTGAAATAAGATACTATGATACGTTTCTAATAGCTAATAACTTTTTACTTATTACTATTTATTTAAAAATTATTTACGTCATTATTTTGTTTAAGAGGTTCTACACCATGCCAATTTCTAATATTATTCATTGAAGATAAATATTGTCTTTTTATTTTAGAATGCATGTCCATATCATCTTCCATTCCTTCATTGTAACCAATATACTGTAAGTGATCACATTTTAATTGTTTATCAAATTCAGCCCATGCTTTATCTAAGCTGTAAAAAAAAAATGTATTTTTAAGTCTTGACAACAATTTTTAATTTCGATGCAATCCTGAGAAAGTATTAATTTTACTATTATGTGTTTATTTATTTATTTTTTTGTGTGTGTTCAACTTTTTCTCAAATCTCACTGGACCGATTTTTCTCAACGATATGTCAAAAGGTCACAAATTTAGTTGATGATATTATCCTCAAAAATTGAAAATTTTCCCCCCTTTTCCTTAAATTGTGGAAATTCTTCAAAAAATTACAATTTTTAAAATCAGTAAATTTTGACATTTTTTTCACTTTTTTTTTTTCTAAAAATTGCCATAATATTTTGAAAAATAACGTGCCAAAATAATTTGATTAAATCAACCTATGTATTTCTATTTCATTTGAAATAAATTTTTCAAAAATTAACAAACCAAAATATATTTTTTTTTAATTAGAAACCTTAAGAATTTCCCTTTTTTTGATATTATTTTTTTAAAAATTTAACTCTTTACTTGCTTAAAAGAAGAGATCCAAAATAGCAAAGTTAAAAAAAGTGACATTGAATTTTTGATTAACCTTAATAGTTTATTTTATTTACTGTTAAATGTAGTGCACTGAGGCTGCGTCGTATATTTTACAGTCTTATCGTTTATTTATTTTTTTTTTTTATGTCTGACACTACTTTTTTTCAGCTGTCACTGGACAGATTTTTCTGGACGATACGACAGAAATAACAAATCGTATCTATCTGAAGACATACCCCCTAAATTTTGACATTTTTTTCTTAAAACTACCATAACTTATTGAAAAATGAACGAATTAAAACTAAGTTTTTTTATATTTAAACCTTAGGTATTTCCCTTTTATTTGATACATTTTTTTTGAAAATCTGACACTTTACCTACTCACAGGGGTGGATTCAAAATATCAAATTTTTGACAAAAGTCAATTTTTTCAATTTAACTTTTAGAAGTATTGTGTCTTTTAAACTTATATTATATCAAGGTTAAGAAAAGATGCTTTAAATTTTTAAATTAGCTGAAATTGTCCTTTTTAGCTTAAATTTTTTGTAATGTATAGTGGCTCCGTCGAATATATTACAGCTTAATACTCTCCGGAGACGAAGTTCGAACCTCGAGCAGTCAAAATGAAATTTTTTGAATTTTTTTCTTAATTCTTTTTTGAGATGGAAAAAAAAATCATAATAAATAATATTCAATCAAAACATTCATTGAATATCATGTACCCTATCACTGTAGTCACCCGTTGTGAGAAAGGATATTCATGAAAATAAGATATTCCTATTAAAATATTTTACTATATGGTTTTTTTTGTGGTTGTCATTCATTTATTTTCAGCTCTCACTTGCCATATTGTAATGATATACATAGTACATCATTAATGTCATAATAAATTATTTCAAATATAAACAATACATCATTAATGTCATAATGTATTATTTAAAACTTCAATCAATCAATCACACAAAATGAAATGTATACCAATAAAAATAATATATACCTTATAATAATATAATATGTACCTTTGAAATGTTTAAATATACTAATGAAATTTTGTAAAAATAACATGTATTAATTATATAAAACAAACAGGAAACAATAAACAATATGTAATGGTAGCACATAGGATGAAGGGTAATAAACTATGCGTAAATTATTATATAAGATATGATACTGTTTTATAATATGTGGATCATTATTGATGAAAATGTATTAAATAACATGTAATAAATTACGATTAATAAAGAAATAATAGTGACGTCGATGATCACTTCTTGCCTTTGAACCACGATCAAATTTAATGTAAAAAGCCAAAAATAAAGAGCAATAAAAAACAGATGCAGTCAGACATTCATAGAGGCACTCACTACGCTCGATCATTCCACATAACGAAATATTTGCAAGAAGTGATCAGACGTCATCACAATTATATTTGTACAAAAAATACAATATTTACTTATTTAAAAGTGTCACAGATAATATCAATGTAGGAATCTAATAAATTCACCAAAAATAAATAAGGTTTAGAATTAAATTTTATGAGTAAATAGATTAAGTAGGCATACAGGAAAATCAAGTGATCATCAATAATAATAAATATACCAAGTAAATTTAATAAATCGATAATATTTGTACAGAGTTACTTGACAGAGTTATATCGTTGATACGTGTCTATTTCAGGAGTTAGGTTGAAGGTTCATATGTATAGCCACCATACCAATCTGGGTAGACACACGAGGTGACTCAATCCCACCTGTCATCGATAACCGTCAAAACTCGTGGCATTATTGATATTTAAAAAATTGACAATTAATTATAATAAATCCCATATTAATAAAATAAAGATCACTTTATTTTTCTATGATCTTCTATCTTTCTTACAAACCCTCGTACTCATACTCCGAGTAATAATATTATTAACACAATAAAGTAGTGGATCAAATAAGCACCCAAATCCCGTCATATTCTATTTAATTTATTTCTTTTAAGTAACTTTCAAAATATTCCCTAAATTAATACAAGTCATAACCCCTTTTTAAATTACAACAAATAATATTATTATTTTTTTTTTGATTCACTACAATATTTTGACAAAATTACGTCAAAAGAACACCATTTTAATCATGTTAAACTTATAATCACCAAATATGGAAAAAAAATTTTTAGTTATACCAATTTAATGATATTGTACATAATGGCAATTTTCTTATGGTGATGATTTAAACACTGTCAGTAATCATCTATATTGTGCCACGACTGCATTACGCTACCGTTTTTTTATTAAAATAAGAAATAATTGTCTTCAATATTACTCATAAAAATTTCAATGGAATTTATAAAAAAAATGTAGCAAAAATAATTAGTACAAATTTCATGGTATTATCATGAAATTGAATTCCATTTGAATCTAATTTTTTTACATATTAAAATAGAAAACTACGAATTAATACTCACTCCTTTTCAAGATCACCATATGTTCCATAGCATATATAAAATATTATAAATAATTTTAATAAAATCATTTGAATCATTTTTATTGTAAGATTGACAATTTTTTGAAATATAGACAAATTTTAGTACAAAAGTTAAATTGAAAATATTTATGTCTTAAGCTATTTAAAAATGTATTCATGTATTACAGTTAATTTTATTATTATTATTCATTATTTTATATTTATAGCATAGTTAAACAAAGAAGCGAAAAATTTACTAACGTCATAACCAGTATTTGTACAAAAACACATTTTAATCTAAAAATAACTTAAAACTTTTGAGTGTCTAAGTAATTTTAATATATTTACCGGCTATAGAAAAGCATTTTACATAAGACTAAGAAATCTTGTATAACTAATTTTAATTATTTTTAGTATGTGCCCCCGGGGTCTGAACCTACTTAAACAGTAATCTAAAAAAAAATTTAACTTTTCATAATAACATTTATTATGATTAACTAAGAGTTGGGTTAATCCAATAGAAGATATTACGAGGATTTCAAAAATATAATTATTATTATAGTTAAATAAACAATTGCTACTATGTCACGTTGCCATAATTATAGAAAACTATTATCATAAAACACAGACAGGGCATCCGATTCTAGAAACTAATGAATTGTGGATTAATATTTATTGCAAAATTGGCAATCGTTCGAATTACTATTTAAAGTTAAAAGACCTGGACATCGTGATCAGTCGATTCTAGTGCTTTGCGTCATTCAGTCTTAGTACTCGATTGTCGCTGTCCGGCTTACTGCATAAAGTTAAGTCTTTGTTTTTCATTTTCATCTACCTACTTTCGTCCTCGACATTTCAGAGTTCTTGTGTCTTGCGCTTCGTCTGTACCTCATACCAAAGTGTTACCCTTATTTTCTTCTTATAACAACGGCCTTTCGACACCCACAGCTAATCCGGAGTGTCAGCCGAGCACGGCAATTGCTGTATGACCTTCCTTGCAAGTTTTGTTTTGTGCTACGACACTATATTAGTAAAAAATATGAGGTCATTTTAGAAAAATTAACTTTATTACCTCTAATATATTTTTAGCAAGGTATTGAATGTGTACAGAATAAACAGAATGGAC